GGAGATCAGTGGCTGTGTCTGGTGGAAAGGAAGAGGCAGGAGCAGCGAAGCTGCCTCAGCAGCTCTGCCCCACCTCAGCCTCTAGTGCAGCGTGTGTTGATGCTGCTGTCTGCCTTTGGAACACTCATTTGCCAATGCATTTGTGGTTAAACTTAGCTCAGTGGATGTGGAGAAGGTGAGTGGATTTGAAAAAAATCCAGAACTGGCCAGAATTTACTGGAGTTTGCAGCACTGAGGCCATCAGGCTGATCTGTGTGTCTGTGCGAGGTATGAATTTTGCATCAAATTGTCCATTTACACTGGGGAAGTGGCAGCTAAACACAATTTAATACATCTCTAAGTGCAAGCAAGCCTTTTCCAATTTCATGGGAGTGAGGAAAGTTCACTATTGCCATTTTTAGTCCAACCTTCCAGTAGTTTGATATTGCCCCAAGTAGACTCTGAGAGAGGTATCTCATATCTCATATTTCTTCATCATGGTACAGGAGCACTTAAATTGGTTCTCTATTTTATTTTGGTGTGGAGTTGCTGAGATAATACCTTTGTTTGAGGGAAATGAAGTCAGAGTGAAGGAAATCCCAGCCCTAGGGGCTGTTCAGACATTTGAATATATTCCCTTTTATATAATTTCAGTGGGAGAACTTTGGGAAATACCAGCTGCCTCTTTCCTTATTTTATTTTTCTATGGATTTTTCTTTTCATTTTGTATTCAGAGTCTTAACTTCTAAGTAAGTATCTCTGCCTTCTTCATATTTCAGTCTCTGCTTTGCTATTTCTGTTTCCCTTGCCATTCTCTGCTTTTGCACTCCCTTCCTAGGGAAGTAGGAAAATTCAGGTGTTAATACTGGAGTGATTTTCAGTGCTGTAGTTTCAGCCTGGAATCTTGCAGCTTTCCCTTGCTTTCCTCAAGCTGGTGAGATCTTCTGTGTGAGAGCAGTGGCACAGATTTTCTGTGTAGAATTATTCTTAATACATCTCAGAATATCTCAGAATTATTCTTAATACATCCAGAGTAAAATCCACAGTTACATCATTCCAGCACAGCTCTGTGTCATCCCAGTAGGAGCATCCAGCTGAAATGGATGATACTTTGCCAGGATGTAAAAGGAACCTTCCTCAGGACAACATTTCTCTTTCATCTGAAGTTGTTCCCATTTTTATTGTATTAGTACAGGTTTTTCAGCTGGTTGTTTTAACTCATTTTTTTCTGAACAGCACCAAGATTTCTGTATGGGGTGTTTATTTAAAATATTTTACAATGTAAGATAGACAGATCCAACTTGAGCCTCATTAAAAGAACATTGCCAAAAATGGAAAGCCTTCAGAGGCCTATTAGAGTGAATTATCCTAATGAGAAGCATGAATTCTGTCCTAGCAGCTCAAACTGCTTCAGTGCATCTGGAGTTTTCCCAAAACCTGCCAGAATTTAAGGACCCGTGTCAGTCTGGCTTTCCTTGCCTTGTAACCGGGACAGAGAGCAGCCAAGTGCTGTCTCTGCCAGCTGTACATTCAGAATATAATTTAAATAAAATACTTAACTAACAGCAGAAACTGTTCTGGCTTTGCTGAGCATGTGTAAGATATTTTTAGATAAAAATTCTCATTATGGTTGCTGACAGAAAAGACTTGCTTTTCTTCCTGTAATAATTTCCTACAGGTGAGCAATGGGAATTAAAATTCAAACCTCTTGTGAGCCTTTCAGGAGGATGGAGAGCAAGGAAATGAAGGTTCAAAGCAATCAGAACTGCCATTTTGAATGTAGTCTCCCCACTGTTCCTGGCCCAGGGTTTTAGGTGAATGTTCCCAAGAAGAAATAGTCACTTTGTGTAAACTACCTCTGCATTGTCTGCTTTAATTGTAAAAGCATCAAGTGGCATTTCCTTCCCCATCAAATTCCCTGGCCTTGTATTGCCAGATGTGGCCATAAGTTATCCAGCTGTGAATCAAACCAGTCGCTTTCTTCATCTTGCTGAAAGCTGCTGTTCTCAGATGCTCTTTGCTGTTGGTTCCCCCTCAAAATGAGAAGGGGTTGTTACAGTGCGACGTGTAAACTTCACCTCCTGTTCTTTTTCCATCCTTCTGACACCGATGAGCAGTTTGAAATGGTGATGTGTCACTGGCAGCGCTCATATGGGGCTGGAATGGTACCCTGGAAGCAATTCCCGATGCTTCCAGATGTGTAAGTCTTCTGGCACCTCCTTCCTTACAAAATGAAGTAGGTTTTTTGCCCCTCTGCTTTATGCTGTTTTACGTACTGCACGTGCTGATGGCATCCAGCTGGTGAGTTCCTGTGATCCTGAGACCTGTAAAGAGCTGGATATAAAGCTGGAAAGGTAACTAATCCTTTTGAAACCAGGCACCCACTTGCAAGTTCAAATGACTTTCCATGTAGGATTGCTGGATAGAGCAATTTTCCAGTTCTAGATTGAACATGGAAACCTCATCTCTTATTTTCAAAATTAGGAAGCTGTGTTTTACTTCTTGCTTTGCTCCTTCTGTGCAGAATATCCTTCTTTCTTGCTGCTGCTTTGTTTTTTCTCCTGGGTAGCTACTTGAGGAATGCCCATCTTAGAAGTCATTTTCACCTTTTAGTTGCCGGAGTCTTCTGGGAACATCCAGCTCTTCCTAAGGCATAAATCAGTACAGGTTTTCTCTTTAATTCCACCCACGCTAGCTGAGGATATCTATGTACTCAGTCCTTCCTGAAGAAAACAGCACTGGTAGCTACATAAAGATTCCTGTGCATTAGTCAGATGCTGGGTCTGAATCTGGGGTCGGGTAGGAGAACTTTTTTGCAGGACACTCCCTCAGTTGTGTTCCTTTTGCTGTGCAGTTTTTACTAGTAAACAATATTGCTCATGCCCAGTAGCTATAATAATGATAGCATTATTTTTTTAAAATTTTATTTTATTTAATAATATTTTATTATTTTATTTTTTTTTTCTTTTGGGCCTGGCATTTCTAGAAAAACACGTTCGTTGTGTTTTCTGTCAATGCTGTTGCATACAGTAGTTATTTGTTTATTAAACCATAAGGAGTTCATGGAGAGGTTTCTTCAATTCTGTGTCATGCTGGAAATGCTGTCCTAAAGACGGCTGTTTCTGGAAGGGATTGAATGAAGTGATGTACAGGGAGGAGCAGAGGTGCAGATAAATGTAATAATGTCTTGACTGAACGCAGCAGCTGTCAAGTGAGTTAAATAGAAGCATTTCTCAGTGCAAAAGCTGCTTGAAGCTGGTAATTGTTGTGCCTTTGAGAAAGCAAAGCCCTCTCATTATAGACATGTAATGTGCTATGAATCCCCATCTCAAGCAAAACTATCTGAGATTAAATGTTCTTCTGATTTGCATTGTTCAGATAATTATAGCTAGCCGGGGTCAGCGTTTGGATGGTGCATTCTCAGCCCTCGGGTTTATCCACTGGCTCCAGGACCAGACCACAATTTCAAACAGCTCAAAGAGGTTTCCTATTGACTCTGTTTTGGCTGTTTTCAGCTGTGCTGCTCCTTCCTGCAGTCTCATCCATGCAGCCCTCGGAGATGTTCTTCTCCCTCCTGTGCCTTGCCTTCTTTCCTGAAGCTTTCCTTTCCAAACGGAGACATCCACTTAAAATGCAGAGTCTTCCTTAAAGCTGCATTCCTCAGTGATCTCTTCCCAATTCCAAACAGTGAACCGCAGCTAAAACAGTAACAGAGAGCTGCTGTGCCCAGCCAGGCTCGACTCCCAGAGCAACATCTGGATTTGTTAGGATGAGCAGGAAAAGAACTCTGGAGGGTTTAGGAGCAGTATTTTCTGTGTGCTGAGCTCTTTGGTCACCCTGCCTGTGGGCTCCACTGTGAACAGGAGATGGCCAGGTCACAACAGGATGGCCAGGAGAGCAGGGTGGGATGGTAACAGATGAAATCTGGGAAGGAATTGCAAAGGGCCTTTGCAAATGCAAAGCCATGTCTTTCCCAGCACCTCCAAGATGCCCCGGGGCTGTTGACTCATTGTTAAGTCAAATGTGCTGCATGGAATGCTGGATGATTTCAGTTTGTGTAAGTCCATGTTTTATTTGAAGGCCACTTCCTCAAAGAAATTATTCTTCTGAAACACGTGCAAGATTTAAGAGCTTTTCCTCCAGTCGTCTCAGTTGGGAAGAAGCAGTTTTCCTCTGCAGAGTTGTGTAATGATGTCCCCTATGTCACTGTTCCCCTCATCCCTGCTGGCAGCTCTGGTGTCAGAATGAACAAGGATGCATCAAAAGTCCCCTGACTCTTGAGTTTCCACAGGCATTAGATGGCTTTGGGAATGTTGATACCCTTTGGGGTCACTTACCTTTGGATGGTGTGATGCTGCATAAATGAGATGTGAGCCAGTGCTGCTCACAGAGCTGGTGATAGCTCCGTTCTTCCCAGACCTGCACTGCCAATCCATTGGAAGTAGCTGCAGAGAAATGAGCTCCCTGTGTGTTTCTGGAAGTGTAACTTGACCTGGATGTCATTTGTTTTTATTCAGCAGCCTGTGCCCCTGAACTTCCAACGACTGTTCTCTTAAAAAAAGAATAAAAGGAACAGGAACGGGAAAACCAAACAGATGTGGAGTGATATTTGGGCTGTTATGCAAACGGCCCAGCATTGGATGAAACTTAAATTCTGTGCTCTTCCAATTACATTTTATTTATTTTTGCGTCTTTTCCCTGTAAATTTTGCAGGGTTGTCTCTTGTCTTCTCATCCAGAGCCCTGCACAGAGACATCACCTGGGCTCACAGGATGAGGAATCACCTATTACCTTCTCCATGAATGGTTAAATGTCAGTCCAAATATCTTTGAGCTGTCAAAGTAGATTTCTGATGAACATGAGTTAATTTTCTCTCTTGTGCTTCGTGTGCTAGAGCTTTTATATGTCTGGAAACACGCATGTTTCCTCTTCCTAGAACACAGATTTCACGGCTTACATCATTGAGTGTCATTTTTTACAGCTGTTTTTGCTCTTTAACAATTTGTTTCTTTCCTCTGTAGCTCAAGGAGATGGTGGAAAATGAGCCAAAAGCATCGTGTGAGTCAAGAGGCACTGAAGTGCTGCCAAGCATCGATTCCCACCATGGCAGGAACGACTCCCGGGGTGGTGAATTCCAAAGAAATGTCTCTGTGGTGGCTGGCACCGGCTGCAGCAGGAAAGTCACGCCGAGACAGGAACAAGGCAGCAGGTAAGAATCTCAGTGTCTCACTCATACATCCAGGCACTCTGTGGTTTCCCAGCCTGTGGTGTGGGAAGCATGTCAGCAGGTCATCCTTGGAACACTTGGGCTGCTGAGCCAAGTAGGAAGAAGGTAGGAGAGGAGCAGGGAGAGAGGGAGTTACTGATCTGGGACTGCAGCACTGAGGAGGGAGCCAGGCTTCTGACTGCAGGGTTTTTGCCTCCTTCACTGAAATAAGTAACCTGAAGTAACACTTTGGCAAGATATTTCTTTTCCTTCTGTCTGCTCCTTCCAGTTTTAGACAAGTATCCCTATCTAATTCCAAGCTAATTCCAGCCTCTGCCGCTGCTGTATTGGCACTGTTCCAGCCTCTCTCTGTGCCCTGATAACTGAGTGCCTGTATGGCCCCTAAGGGCAGAAACAGCTGCATCACCTCCCCACTTGAAATCATGTACTTGAAATAATCTTTAGTTTGGTGAGAAGTAGGGAATATTGGACAATGAAGTCAGGCTCTGATTTCCATGTATTTATTTTAAAGACAGTACCAGCCCGGTGTCTTTCTGTATCCATTTAAATGGGAAGCTGTAAAGTTTCGTCTTCAAAAATCAGGCCTACCAGGACTCCTTCGGTCCCAGCCATTAGCTACTGCACAAAAACCAGTGTTTTCAACTCAGGATTTTCATGTCACTGTCCTAGCACCACGTTTCTTGTGGCAAAACCCTTTTTCCAGCTCAGACTTCAGGGATTATACCCTGTTTGAAAGGGCAGAGTGTATTCTAGTGGGTACAGGTGCAGAAAGGACAAGCCAGCTTTGCTCTTACGTGGTGAAAACTAATTTTCTGGGAAGGTAGCTGTGTGTTTTCTCAGGACTTTAGGCTGTTGAATACCAAAATGTGTCACCTCTGGACACGCAAGCTTAGATTTCATTTCTCTTTCCGCTACTTCTTGCTAGATTGGAACCCTAAATTTGAATTCAATGCTATGAAATCATTTTAACCAGTATTAAAACTCAAAAAAGAAGCTGAAGGAATGTCCAACTCATCATTAAAAAGGAGCGGATGAGTTTGGAACCCCAGAATAATTAGGAAATCTCTAGGACAGGGTATAAAACCAGTAAGGCTTTGGTGGGCGTTGTTCCCATATTTTTGCTCCTGGGATAATTCTCAAGAAAAAAACAAAGTTGTTACTAGTATTTGTTTTGCTTTCCTTTATCTAGAAAGGTGATAGAGGAGCCTTTTTCTTTTCAGTGCAGGTAGTTCAGTCCTGAAGCACCTGCATAACCTCGTGGATCCTGGGTTTATCAGTGTTGTTTGCAGGTCTAGCACTCTCCTTTCAGACCTGGCAGGTGTCAGATGCTGGGCACAAGCCTTGAATTCTGTTTATTTTGTTGGATCTCAAACCCTTTGTATCTTTAAGGCAGTGTCTTTCAAAATGGTTAACTGTTAAATCATTAATTTTTCCCATTTTCTGCTTTTACACTTTGAATTCAAATGATTTGCACACAAATCTCCCTGTGAAGCCCCCAGGAAGCTAAAAAAATAAGAGCACTTATATGTGATTATAGATATTTCAGGTTCTTCACGTGCTTAAGTGTTCTACTGTAGCACAGGACTTAAGGAAACCTTCTGGCAAGTATTTTAGGGATAATCTGGTCTAGCCACATCACACTGAGCCCTTTTGGCATTTAATTCAGAATTATTCAACATGTACCTGTGCAATCAAAACTGAATCTCTGTGTTTTTCACTTAGGGACTGTTCCTGTGCATGTGATGACATTGCTGCAATAAAATATAAGGACTTAGATTATATAATGGAAGATTTCCTCCATGTGTTCCCTTGATATATTTCAAAGGAATTTTTTTTCTTCCTCTGTGAGGCTGTGTTGCAACTTTCCTTTCAGGCCATTTGGATAGTCTTCTCCTTAACCTACTGCTTAGACTTGAAAATTTTCAGGAACAAAGTCTTCTTAGCAAGGAAACTGCATCTTTGAGATCTCTACCTATTTGCCAAGTTTTGTTAGAATTGGACAGCAAAAACACATTAAGGATGTACACACAGAAAAAGGTAATTTAAAAACTCTTTTCTCTACAGTAGATTATATATATATAAAAAAGAGATTATTTGCGATTTTCCACCATTCAGTGTCAGTTTAATCCATTTTCAAGAGATCTGAGTGGCCTGCATGTTGTTTTCTAATAAATGGTAGCAGTTATTAGATATTAGTATATTAGATATTAATATATTAGTTATTAGTAAAGAGGAAGAGCCTCAGGACACAGCCCGTGGTGTCAGATATTCACTCCCTTGATTCCTAGATAAATCTGGGAAGTGAGAGATTGACCTTTTCCCCCTAACTTTTGACTTTAATGTTGGCAGCAGTATGGAAGGAGGTTAATTGGAATGTCTGAAAGGGAAAAAAGGCTTCCCCCATGCAAAATAATGAAGCTTGGGTGGTATCGTGACTACTTTAAATTGTGATTCTTTTAAATAAGAAGTGAAAGGTTGCTTAGCTTATCAGGCAGACCAAGAAGGCCAAGGGTCCTTTGATAAGGATTTTCACAGACCAGTAGAACATTTTCCAGAGGCATGGGCTTGGGCTCTGTGTTTTTTAACTGTCTAAAGAGTCTTCTTTCCTGCTTTTCACTCAGTGCCTGTTCCTTTTGTTTCTTCTTGCTGCAGCAATATTCTTTATTAGTCTGCATTTTAGGCTAAAAACCTCTTATCTCTTGGATGTACCGACCCCTTGGTGCCTGGTAGCATCCCCATGACTTCTAAGGAACTACGCCAGTTTATACTAGGCATCTCTCCTTTTTCTGTATTACTGTACAAAAATGTGAGTGCTTTGGAATAGATGGAGTGGGATTAATCTGAATATCTTTGTGTTTGGAAAAGGAACCTGGAGCAGAGCAGTGGGTCGGTGTTGTGCTGTTGGCTCAGGCAGGATGGGCAGTACCAGCTCAGGCCAGCCACATCAGGGGAAGCTGGGATGAAACAAATGCAAAGAGGATGGGCTGGGAATGATATTAGAGCATAAATAACCACAGGAATAAAGCATCCTGTGCTGTCAGCACTTAGAACCCATCGAGAGGAGTTAGTCAAAGCCCAGGTGGTTCACAGCCTCTGTCACCTGCAATGGGCTGGACCCACCAAGGGGACTCACTTTGCTTCCACTGACTCAGTATAAAGGCATCTCTTATCCTCCAGCTGTTTTAGAGGAGATTTTGGGCAAAGAAGGACAAATATTTTATTGTACAAGTGTGATTGTCAGCCCAGAATATTTCAGGGTATTTTCAATGCTGGTTTTCTTTCGCGTCCTTGGAGCTCTCTTTGAGCCTTTCAGATGTATTTGCCTGGAAAAAAACTGGAATCTTTGAGCAAGGAGAGGAAAAGCAATTCTTTTCAGAACTGGGGAGTGGGCTGCTTTTTCAGGAAGATTTAAGGTAGAGTTTAACTTTATGTGGAGCCTCCCATCCTAGAGGTACACTGTGGTGTTTTATATGGTGCTGTGATAAATATAGAAAGGTGACCTAGTAGGCAGAACAGAGCAACCACTCAATCACTTCACACATAGAACACTGGACAGTAAATGAAGGGCTTCAGTAGCAGCAGGGCTGGGATTCCTGACCTCTGGCAGCTCCCACTGGGGTGGTTTTAAGGAGTTAGTGATTTCTTTCCACTCCGCCCCTTATCAGAGGGGACAGCTCACTGCTGGCACGGGCAACGGGGAGAGGTAACTCTAAATCATCCCCACATGCCATTCCTGAGCTCAGGAGTTAGAGCCAGATTGCAGCATAGGAAAGCTTTCCTATAAACTTGGTCCAATACTTAAAAACCCTTTAATGACCCGAGCTGATGAGTGGTTTTGCTGTTTAATTCAGGTGAAATACAGACCTTTACGGAGCTGTAAAGAAAAACAGATAAAATTCTGCACTTTTTATTGTATTTGTCTTTAAGGTGTTAGATTCAGTAAAACCTGCAAAGGACAAGGAGTTGATGTAGTGCAGAAGATAAAAGCAGTGTTACCAGAACATGCTGTTGCATGCAAAGCCCAAAGCAAACTAAAAATTCCTGAGAATGACCAAAAGCTACTGAGATTTCAGTCAAGTTTTAGTATTCTACGTGATTGCTTTTTCATCTTTCCCTAGGAGGCTTTGAGGAGAAGGTTTAAATAATCAAATTGTAATGTGTGAGCCTAAAGTTCGGGAAGCATTTTGGTTTTATTAAGGAAAATGGAGAGTGTGTGCCTGTATTTCCTGTAGGGCAATTAGAAACACACTGTCCTATGGATGGCTTCATCCTTCACGGGGAACTTCCTCGTTCACTATGGGTCTTGATGACTGAAAGGCTCTTGATTTGCTGTTTGGTGTCCACCAAGGAAGTTTTACATCACCTGCTCCTGTGCTGTTTCCAGGTAAGGTCCCTGCTCTGCTGTGGAATGACAGGACACACCAAGTAGCAGTGCCTAGCTCTCAGAAGTGGCAACTTGGATCCTTTTTCCTGGCTGAGCACCCAGCCTCACCTCCTGCCAGGTGAAGTGACACATTTACCTGTCTTCTACATTCTCCTCCCCTTACCCAGCTGGCTGATACTCCTTATCTTCTTGCTTCTTTTTTCCATTACCTCTTGTTCTTTTTTTCTGCACTGCCCTGCTCCAGTAGCTGAGGCTGGACAATTCCCTTCAGCAAAGTCCACTCTGCCACTTTTACGTTGGAGAAACAAGACTGAAGGGTTTGAATTCCCTCTTTCTCCTGTGCTGAACTGGAGTTTCAGCTGAGTGTAGAACGAAGCCTGTGAAAAGACTCTGGTATCGGGTGTCTCTTCCACAAAGCAGCAAGTAGTAAATTAAGAGACTAGAAAGTTTCATGCTACGTGGCACTCGAGGAGAATCATTAAATGAGGGCTATTTTATTTTACACTGAATAGTGACAGGCTAAGTCCTTTCTTCCTCTGAAATTGAAATAGATATTTTTTCTTAAAAATGCAGTTCTTTGCCAATAAGAATCCAAGTTGATAAATTCTAATTGTATGGATATTTCACTGTAGGACATGGTACTCTTCCTCAGGCTCTGACAAGGGATAACCAGCTGAATGATGCTGGCAGGGAATGAAGCAAACAACTGATAGCAGTTACTGATATTTTAAACTTGGCTTGAATTTCCTCAGATGATGAACTTCCCATTTGAGGCTAAATGCTACACTTGAGTTTTGGGCCTTGTCCTGTAACTTGTCCTCAAGTCAAAACCAGCTGCACAGAGTGGGAGGCTGAGGGGGAGGTGCAGTAAGGCTGTGGGAAAGCGAAGACTCCAAATTAAGGTTGGAACAGTTAAGAAATGCAGGTAAGGACTATGCTTGAATTATACTTAGGTCATGATGACTTCAGGTCACTAAAAGCAGCAGAACACTTGGGGCTCTGGGCTTATGCTTGTTCCTCCATAACTTCTGAGTTCATTGGCTGAGCTCTGCCAAATCCAAATCCACACAGCCCCAACAAATGAGTGACTTTGCACACAACTTGGGGCTCAAGGAAAAGGCTCTTTTCAGTCAAAAGTCCCAGTGAGGGCTCGCAAGCATCCAACAAGAACCTGCAAGGATCAGGCTCTGTTACTACTTGGGCCCTTGCTTTTCCTCCCATTCTCCCCTCCTGCTTTTCCCTGCAGGGTGGAGAAATAAGAACATGAGAAGGGAACAGACTGCTGAGACCAGACAATTTAAAACTGCTGTCTCTTGCTTCTAGATGTTGCTCTCTGAATTGAAACTGAACTTGAATGAAGCTGCTGGGAAGAACTGCAGGTCAAGCCTAGCAAGTCATAACCCTGATGGATGAGGCTTTGGCTTAGAGGGAAAAATGGTGTTACTGGTTAGACTTGGCAAAATGTGCCATGATTTCATTTGGGAAATAACATGGAAAGGAGGAGAGATTGAAATACCTTGATTATACTTGTCTTGATAGTTTGTATCCTACTAGAAACTGTATTGGACAGAAGGAAACCTGAGGGTTTCTTAGTCATCAGAGGCTTCGCAGTTTTTAATTGTTTTGCAAGTGAAATGTTGTGTTGGTGGGACAGCTGTATGGCACCTCCTGGAGCCAGGGGCCAGTAATACTGAATATTCCAGTCTGGATAAAGGCATGAAAACCAAAGAAATTGACAAATAACTGTATTTTTGAAGTATTTCTCCATATAGTTATCATACAAAAGCAGAAGTGCACTATAAAACCCCCAAAAGAGGGGGGAGCTAGGACATAGATCACGCACGTTATAGTGAGGAATTTTAATAGAAGCTGTCTTCACCTTTGAAATTCAGTGGTTAACTTTTAAAATGGATTTTAATCATGCATCTTTATAACAACATGTTTGAGGTGATAAACAGTGATGATCTTGACTAACCAAGAGAAAAGAAGCAGGAGACAACAAAGAAAAATACGTTCATATGCATTTCCCCACATGGTTTCATATTCATGCTTACCTATGTGTAACTACACCACAAACTTGAGGGGAATTTCAGGTATTATCCTGCAATTTGTTGCAAAGAGGCTGGAATGTAAATGAAATCCTAAAATAATACCACATGTGGCGTTGCAGTCCTTTTTCAAATGCAGATCAGAGGTTTTGGCCGTCCCCGTGCTGTCCCAGGGGTTCCTGGAGCTGCAGCCCCTGTGCACAGCCCTGGGTAATGCCAAGTGCCACCCACTGGAGCTGGAGCTCACAGAGCAGCCTCCTTTAACCCCACTGGCATTTCTGGCTACATTTATACACCTGGAGCCAAACACGGGCGTGTTACGCCTCCACAAGGTCTCCCTTTTCCTCTTTCTTTGGTGCCTAGGATTGCAAGTCCTTGCTGCTTCTACTATTCTTAAAAGTTGCCTAGAAGCTGAGCAAAAACACTGCTGTAGTAGTTTCCCCTCTTAAGCAGCATCCAAGGTATTGTTTCCTCTGCTTTTCCTTTTCCCAGGAACAGCGAGCAGCTCTGTTGAATGGCTTTCTCCATGAGGTTATTTTGCAGGTCAGGAGGTTAGCTCACTTTTGTCTTTTTACTCAGCTGCTGCAGAAGAAATCCTCTGTGTGTTCTCCTGAATTGTAAAGGCTGGTAAGAAAGAGAAGCCAAAGTCATCCATTAATCCACAGGCAAAGTCCTATTGAAGCTGCTGCAGTGAAAGCTCTCCCATGCTGCCCTGGAAATAACCCCGGCCGTGACGCGCTGAGATGACCCTAGGTAAGGTCAGAAGCTCAGTTCTCATTTTCATTTCAGCTTCTGTTTTTTTAAACAGTATTTGGGATTGTGCCTCGTGGTTCTGTTGAGCTCTTAAAGCAGCTGGAGCCCCCTCGAGAGGGAGTGGAGAAGGGGACTCTGGGGAAGGCAGGGGTTTATCTGCTAAACTTGCCACTCTCTCCTCTCAACTTACTGTTGTTTTGGCTTAAATATTTAATGACCCTGACCCCATGTGAGAGCAGCAAGTGGTATCAGGACTTGAGCTTAAGCTGCTTTGCAGAGACAAAGCACCTGTTCTAATTCCTTCTGGAAATGGAAGTGGTTTGGAAGGGTCCCAGCAAATTGAAGGCAAAGTGGTAATTCTTGACTGCCTGTACACTTTCTCAGGAAGCGTGTGAATGGCAGGGATCTGCGTGCACAGCTCCTGGCTGGGGTTTTCAGGAGGGCTGAGAGAGCTGGGGGTCTCTGTCCCGGCATCCTTTGCAGGGTTGCAGCTGTAGTGCCAAGATGCATTTAGCGGAGAAGATAGTGACATCAACCCTCTGTCTCTTCTCTTCATAGACACTGATATAATAAAATGCCAAGCTGGTGTGTAGGGTTGTGGTTAGGTCAGATGCAGCCTGCAGCTTCGCCCGGTCCTGGCCAGCGTGCCCTGGGAGCAGCTGGCAGCTTGCAGGAGCAGCGTTATCTCTTGGGATCCAGCTGCAGTGCTTGTTCAAACGCTGAGCCAAGGTGCTGCTGGCAGCCGTCCTCCGCTGCTGTGTTTGTTCTTGTGGCGTGGAGTGACCTTCTGGAATAAAACCAAGGAAACAGAAGTGACAAAAACTACTGACAGGATAGATTTGGGGTATTTTGTGGGATAATCAGGTAACATCGTAACTCTTTGGAGTAAGGAGCTGTGAGTTGGAGCTGAATCAGCCATTCCCATCGACCTGCTTAGGGCACTGATTTTCAACAGGATATTACTGATTTTTACTTTTCATTTTTCATTTCTGTGGTGCAGCTTTTGCCTTCTCTGGGTTAAGGGAACCATGCCAAGCAAGTTGATTTTCATTACATTTGAGAGGTAAGGGAGTGCTGAAGTGTGCAACCTCCCTCCCTCCCTCTGGATGGGAATATGTTTTGTGTGAATCAGTGAGAGAAAAGCAACCACTGAAAATACATTCCCTTTCTTTCTCTGCAGTCATCCCCCTCCCCAGAAACTTCTCTAAGACTGTGACTAAAACCAAAGCACTTTGTAAATTACAAAGGAATAGTGTTGAGCTGGTGAAGCCAGCGGGAAATGAAGATAGAATCCCAGAATTGTTTAGGTTGGAAAAGACCTTTGAATCATCAAATCCAGCCGTTAACCTAGAAGTGGAACAGGGTTATCATTTCTTTTGAAGATTCAGGGTGGCTTTAATTGCATTTTATTTGGCACACTTTGTTTTAAAACTCATCACCGCAGAGTAGGAACAATTTTATGGCATGTGCTAATTATACAAAATTCACAAACACTGCTTCTTTTCATTTTTATTTTCCTCAATGTCTTTTTCAAATATAATTTTCACATCTCATATTTTTTTTTCTCCAGTTTCTGGTGTCTTGTGGTTAAATCTTGACCATAATTCTTGCTCTGCTTTGTTAAAAGTAATAGGTGTGCTACATTTCTTCATTTAACAACCTGCTAGATTAATAGTGGCTTTAAAACAATTAAATATGGTTGTGTGGTTTAACATTCCCAATTTTAATGCACCATGAAGGAGAAATGAGAGGCATTGTCTTTTATAGAGTGCTTGGGTTTCATGTACAGACTGGCAGACTTTGTCTGACACCTTGCTACTGGGATCTCCTTTTTCTCCAAAAGAAAGCTTTCTGTGCAGGTTTGGAAATCAAGTGGCAAGTTACTGGGTGGCAAATAAGGCTGAAATTTTAATGGTGGTATCTCAGCCAAAAAGGCTTTGGGACTTTTGGGATGCACAACTGGAATTGTAGCACAGGACAGCTGGATGAGAGGTGGCTTCTGCATTGTAGCGGGCATATTTTAAAACATAAAATTTGGTTCCTGTGAATTCTCTGTCACTAAGGCTGGAAAGCTGAGAAGGTCATGGCCACGTGTTCTGGTGTGTCACAGAGCAGGATCTGGGTCTCCAGGCAGCCTGCCTCACAGGGGATTCCCTCCTTGTGTTATATTTCCATCCAGGCAGGCTCCATGGAGAAGGAGAACCTGAGGCATGAGGTATCGGTCATTCAAGGTAGCCAGGTTTTGACACCAAAGCCATATTTCAGCAGAAAGAACAGAATTTATGCCTTCCAGACTGGCTCCTATTAAGATAGGTCATCAAATGCATATGTGGATCAGAAACTCAGTAAAGTCTAATGACTCCTAAATATCAGGGAATGTCGCTGCAAAACTGAGCATTAAAATATGTGTGTGGACAGGCTCAGTGAAGACTGGGATTTGTCTGCATGATAGCTATTATTCCTAGATGTTGTAGTTAAGTTACACTATAAATATTCCTGCTAGATGTTGTAGTTGAGTTTACAAGGGCTTTGTCTCAACAAAATGAATATTTGAAGCTTGGATGAAATAGCACTGCAAGAACTCCTGATCAGTAACTTCCCCTGGTTCCACAGAGGCAGTATTGAACTTTTCTCCATTTGAATTCTTGCTCCAATTAAGCCTGGCTTTGAAACTGTTTTGTTGCAGACACCTCTGCTGCGAGGGGATGTGGGACCTCAGGGAGCCTGTGTTCCAGATCAGGTAATGCCATGTTTTACTCCTCTGAGTATTATCCCTGCCAAATGCTGCTGCAGCCTTCCCGCTCCGAACCCTGGCCCCTGTGCAGAGCCTTCCAGACAGAGCTCAGTGCCTCTTCGCTTCAGGCCCCAGTCTAGGTTCATAAAATATTTGTGGCTGTCAGTCTCGTGCATCAGCCAAAGCTGCACAGATGCAGGAAGCCAGTCTGAGGCATTTTAGAATTGCAAATGCCTAACAGATCTTTAGCAGCTCTATATATGTATACACGTATGTAAATACATATATGCATATGTATGTGCAACAGACTAGAAATACACACAAGAAATCTTGGATTTCTCTGGTAATAGTGTGCCAAACTGGGCTGCTGCAGATGAGAAGTGTCTTTAATTGAACTTGCAAATACTGCCTTGATTTCAGTGTGTTACAGGAGTGGCACTTGGTGTGGTTTTTTTATTAGAAATAATGAGGCATCTATTTTTAACGCCTTATTTTTGCTTTCTTACAATTCTGTCAAGTCTTTGATAGATGACAAAGCAGAGTATCTGCCCTGGCCCCCAGCTCTGTCTGTTGTGTGTCTTGGTTTCTCCGACATTTAGAAACTTTTGAAGCCAGTTTTGGCAAAATTTAGTAACTTAGGAGGTAACATAGGACTTAACACTGTATTGCAAGAATGTTTTTAAGAGCACAGAAACAGGACTTTGGATCCCTGTGCCTGTGGAAGCTGTCAATGCCCATGACAGGTTCAAGATCTCTTCCAAGCCAAACCAGTGTGTGATTCTGTGATTGCCTGAAGTGCTCCTGAACAAAACACCTGAGACTGTGCACGTTCATGGTTTCACCACAGGAAACAGGTGCTTTGCAGCACACTCAGGTGTGTCACGTTACAGAAAAGCCCACAAGGACAACGAGGTTGTGTTCAGGGTTTGAATGATGGCACTAAGTAAGGTTTGAGGTCACCTAGTGAACATCCATGAGGGAAGTAAAATGAGGAATAGCTGTATGGTAAGTGAAATACCTTTTTAATGTAGAATTATGGGGCTGGCACTTCACAGCCTTTCCGATTCTGGGCTTTCCCAGAAGTGGCTCTGTGCAGCTGCTGGCACTGAATGGGACAGGCTGCTTCGTGAATTTTACGTGCAGAAATGACTGTACACTTGTAATAACAGATGCATTCCCGCTCTCTCAGAAGAATTCCTTTTATTTTTTTTGCTTTGTGAGGGGATATCATGCGGTTCAAGACCTGTGTCCTCTGGAACAGCAGGGCTGCTGTGGTTGGAATATGCAAGGTATCTCCTGAAAACCAAGGCTGAAGCTCTCCTCCTCTTTAATGCTGCCGTGACGCAATCTGGATTTAGTAGAACCGCTATTTTCTTTTTCACGTTGATACGATGATTTCTGGCAGGGAGGTCAACTTAAAAATTCTAGTTAAGCTGTCACATGTATTCTGAGAACATTTAGCAGGAGCAGATCATGTGTTTGTGCTACGTGAGGCCAACAGAAACTGATTTCGGTTGGTTGTGGTATTTCACAGGAATGGTAATGCACAAGGTACACGAAAATTGTTTTAAAATGGATTTTGAATTGGGATCCAGGTGTTGATAACACTGACTAATTCTGACCCTGAAAAGATTCAGTCCTCAGTTGAACACTGCTGTAGTTCAGGGATGGTTGATCTCTGTCTCCTGGGGAGATGCTTCTGGGAATGCCCCGGCGGGGTCTGTTACCAGCTGCTTACACACATCTTGCACTGCATAACATCTTCTGGGGAAATGAAGGTGTACAGCGTGTGTTTGTGCAGATTGCTGTCTCTGGAAGGTGCTCTGCAAGTGGATTTGGGGTTCTGCCCAGGCCAGGCACCATTTCCTTTAGTGTCCTGTGGCGAGCTCCCAGCTGGAGTGGAGAGAAATGGCTTTGTGATCAGACTCCAGTCTAGTGGGACCCCTTGGAACTGTTGAGACAGGACACGGGGTGATGGTTTTAAACTGAACATGCATCAGTTTTGGTTAGATATGGGAAAGGAGTTACTTTACCATGGGAATGCTGAGGCCCTGGCACAGGTTGTACAGAGAAGCTGTGGCTGCCCTGTCCCTG